ACAGAGATAACAGATTTCTTTTAGCATTTGTTTCCATTCAGTGTACTATTGTTTTCCGATATTGTTTTAGCGTATAAAGCGATGACGAAAGTATATAGACTATCACTAGTAATGGCGACTTTTAATAGCTTCGTTTTGAATTTACTGATTGATTATAAGTATTATTTTATAACAAGTTACAGCTTTTACAGTAGGGAAGAATATTTTTTAAACAGGTACGACGTTTCGATCACTGATGGGATCATTCTTAAATACACAAGGTAAAGAAGGTTTTAGTATTTAAATTAACAATCTAGCAAGGTAGTTAAATTGTTAAGTTGTATATCAATCCGTGTGAACTGACAGATTATTTATATGTGGCTGAACGGAAAAACAAAATAAGAAATTCATAAATAAGGAAATGTGAAAATGTTCTGTGAAATATTTGCATAAGATTAGGAATGTGTGGGTAAATAACGATCAGAGACATACACAGATGTGTCCGTGTATTTGTTAATTGTGGGACTGATTTTATTAATAAAGCTTCTGTGATTTTTTTTCTGTTAATGTCAGGTTCAGGTTTCGGTACTGTGACATTCTGTTCAGAAAAACTGTGGTTGTTTTATGTCTTTTTTTCCACATGTTCATGGACTTGGGAAGGATGTTTTTGGTGTTCTTTTAATCTGATGTTCAAGTTATTTCCTGTTTTGCCTTGGTAAAAGACTGGGCACTTGTTACACTTTACTTTGTAAATATTTCCTGATGGAGTGGGTTCGTTATATAATTTTCTTAATGTGTGTTTAATTTTCATTCCAGGGGTGAAAGCGAATCTAGTCGTTATGTTAAGGTTATATTGTGCTTAGTCTTTTCCAAATTTCTGATGGGGGCTATGCTGATATTTCCTGTGTATGGAATAGCGCAAATGATTAGGTTTCCTTAATTTTGTGGGTTTTTTTAGTGTCTTTGTCTGTGTTTTTTTAAGTTCATTATTAGTTTGTGTAACTGCTGTAGTAAAAAATGTATTTATGTTAGTAAAACATTGGATTAAATGTGCAACTTCTTCATCGCTGTTTTCTGTAGTGTATATTAAATCAAGGAGCATTTTTAGTGCTTAGCTTCTGGTAAATTACA